CTCTAGGTAATGCGAGACACTTCCTACGTTGTTATAAATAATTTTGATCCAACAAATGCCATTACAATAGCTGCCATTTTCTACAGTGTTCCAAGATTTTCATACATGTAAATATTCTAACTCATGGTTGCTCTTCACAACCATCTGTAGAAAGTACAACAGATATTCCCATCCCCATTTTCCAAATGAGGAAACTGAGGCTTGGAAAGGGTCAGAGACTTGCCCAAGGTCACAGAGCAAGAACCTGCTGAAGGCTATATTTGAACTCAGTCTTTCCTAATTCCAGGGACCAGGCTAACTCATGTTAAAGTCATTCATGTAACAGATTCTGGGTGCAATATATAGTCAAAAGATTAAGACCCCATGAAGTCGAACAAACCATTTTGGCTGACATTTCTATCACAGTCAACTCACTCGCTGCATTTCCAGATGATATGGCCTGCTCTCTGTGCCTGGACAAACAATGCTGAGTCCAGGTCCAGGAAATAATATCAGGTATACATTAATGAAGGCTGCTGGAGAGAATTAATGGTGATCATTATCATCATCATCATCAATCATTATTATTATTTCAGTTTCCATAGGCAGATAGGTAGCAGTGGAGCTAGAAGACCTGAATTCAGATCTCTCAGACACTTAACTAGCTTTGTGACCCTGGGCAAGTCACTTAACCTCTGTCTGCCTCAGTTTCCTTAAGTGTAAAATGAGGATAATAACAGCACCTATCTTCCAGGATTGTTGTGAGGATCAAATGAGACAATAATTGTAAAGCCCTTAGCACAGTGCCTGGCACATAGCAGGTGCTTAATAAATGCCTGCTCCCTTCCCTTCATGGTTCAACAGTTGCAGAAGGCTAATATGAGGGCTTCCTCTGTCTGCTACATTCACATATATCTCATGTTTGAAATACCCTTCACCTCCATCCAGTGGATAGTTAAGACAAAGCTTTCAAAGCAGTCTTCAATATGTCTAGAAACAGAATTCATCTTTCCCTTTAAATTGATGCCTCCTTCTGACTCTCTTATCCCTCAATAGTATCACTATTCCCTGGTCAACCAGCCTGTTATCTCTGCCTCTCTGCTCTCCTTCATCTCTCAAGAGATCAAATCAAGCTCTGCAGTGTCTCATAACCCTTCTCCTCCCTTATTCTTACTGCCACTTGGAATTATTGTAGCAAACTCTGCAACGTTTCCCAGACACCAGACTCCCCCACTTTTAACCGGGCCTTCATACCACTGCCATATTGGTCACCCTTCCATGGGTTCCTATGGTCTCAAAAACTAGTCTGGCATTCAAGGCTTTCTACAGTCTGCCACCTCTCCTAGAAAAGAACTTTCTAGCCTTAGTTTACACATTTTCCTCTACATATGATTACTCTGTGGCTCTGCTACTTTAACGGTGTTTATTTTGGTCTCAATCACTGCTTATATTTGTCCCTCTATCTCCAAAACTCTGTGTTCATCTCCACTTGCTAAAATCGGTCAACACGAGTCTGCAAGCATCAGTTAAGCCCTCCTGACACACCAGGCACTGTGCAAAGCACAAGGGATACAACAAAAGACAAACCCAGTCCCTACCCTCAATGAGTTTACATTCTAATGGGATAGGCAACATATACATAACTAGGTAAATTACAGGATAGAGACAGAGGAAATCTTACATATTCTTAGAAATTCAAAGACAACTCCCTGATCCCCTAAGCAAACAATTTTGTTTTTCCTTCCTCAAATTGCAAATGGCACTTTTTACCTCAAGCTCTTCATTTTGTATTCTGCATTATTTCAAGTTTATTATATATTTCCTACTTATTTCAAATTTCTGTATATATCATAGTCCCCTCCCTCCCATTCTCTCTCTCTCTCTCTCTCTCTCTCTCTCTCTCTCTCTCTCTCTCTCTCTCTCTCTCTCTCTCTCTGTCACACACATGCACGCATGCATGCACACTCACTCACATATACAGTCCATTTGAAGGTCCAAGATGATAGGGTCCATGCTCTAAATATCTTTATATCTTCTCCAGCACCAAGGACAGTACTTTACATTAAAAAGTCCTTAGTAAATGGTTGAATTAATATATATGAATTATTAATAAAAAGTATTAACAAAAATTTTAAAATATTAATAATTACTATTAATAAAATATTAATAATAAAACAAATATTTTAGAGATAATAAATTGCTTTAAAATAATTGATGCATACTGGAATGTCAGCAGTGGAAAGAGCATTGAATAAGACCTGAGTTCAAATTCTCACCCTACATGATCTTAAGCAAATCCCTTCATCTTCTGTGCCTCAGCAGGGTGGATCAGATGACCAATGAGATCCCCTATAGCTCTAGCTCAATGATGTTTTTAAAAAAAAAAAAAGAACTCTGGGAGTTCACAGATAAATTTCAGAGAATCCATGAATTTGGATGGGAAAATTACATTTTTATTTTCATTAACTTCTGACTAAAATTTAGCATTCCTGATTCAGTTATTTATTTAAAAGCCCTGTTCTGAGAAGGCACCCCTAGATTTCACCAGATGATCCCAAGAAGTCCAGAAGACAAAGAAGGTTACAAACTCTGCTCTATACAGAAAAAGAGACTCAAAGCTAGAGGGTGGTGTAACTGGTTAATCTACAGATTCAAGACTGTGAAGGGAAGAAAGTAAAGCCAGAGGAAGTGGAGGAGTGATACCCAGAGAGAACAGAGAAGGGTGGAATACCTGGCTAGAGATCAAGGTGAGGATAAAGAAGAGGTTTAGTGGGCAATGTGGTTACTACTGTGTCAAATTTAACATTTTTGTTGTCACATTTCAGTCATGTCGGATTCTTCATGACCCCATTGGGAGTTTTCTTGGCAAAAATACTGGAATGGTTTGCCATTTCCTCCTCCAGCTCATCTTACAGATGAGGAAACTGAGGTGAACAGTTAAGTGACTTGCCTAGGGTCACGCAGCTAGTAAGTGTGTGAAGCCAGATTTGAACTCAAAAAATGAATCTTCCTGACTCCAGGCCCAACACTCTATGCACTGCACCATCTAGCTCACCTTTATTGATATACTACCTTGGAACACACAGACACACAAACACACAGACACACACAAAATTATCATATGTGTATATCTTTTATCAATATGTATCATTATACAAAAATCATTAAATCCAAGGGAATTTGCAAGTGAAGACACTAGCAGGTGGGGGGAGTCAAAGGAGATCATTTAAATGTTAGCTGTAATAATAATAGTAACAATGATTATTGTTCTTCTAGGGTCTTTTTCAGCCCTGAGTCGTCACCTATCAGGAAGCCTCAAATGTGGCAGATGGGTGATGGGGTCAGGGAGAGTAGACAAGTGGAGGAAGGGAGAAAATCTGTGTTATCCACCCTAAAGAGGGTAGTGAAGAACAGTGACTCTCTTACATGCCTTCCTTCCTCCTGACCTAACTGAGGGTTCTTGCTCTCTCTCACTTGAAGGTCTAGAGAACTAGAATATGTATTTGAGTTCCTTTAAAAAGTACTAAGAAAAATCATCTGCCTTTCCAAAACTACTTCCTGTCTTCATCTCTTTTTCTGAAACTTCTGCTTCCCTCTTTACTCCCCCTTCCTCTCCTACCTCTCCACCATTTCCTCTAATTCTCCCTGGGAGGGGCTGCTTCATCTTCATCTTTGTGTAATGATGGTCAGGAAGAAAAATAAATTAAATAAAATGAATGGCTGAGGGCAGAGAGAGTCGGTCATGATAACCCCTCCAGGCCTTATGGGATTTCTTTTATTGGATTTTGCAGGATGCAGTTATTACAGATGGCCCTGCATTGCTCAGGAAAGCCAGCTAATGAGGCCCCCAATTCGGTGATTATAGCTCGAGCTAGTTCAAAGGACAGCCAATGGATAATGCCATTTCCTGGAAAAACATGACCATGCAAGGCACAGAATGGTCTAGAAATAGCTCTTTGGTAATTGAATGATGTGCACTTGGATTTCTTGGCTTGCCCTATTAAACCACCTGGGGCTGCTGTCCTTTGACCCTGACTGGCATAGCACCTTCAGCCATGTTTCCCTGAACAGTGAGGGATCACTGGCAAGAGAAAAACAGAGACTGGCTGAGAAATTGCTCCCCTCCACCACACAGAGCTTCCATGTTATTGGCAAATCAAATAGTTATGATTTTGTAAACACATATGTTTTAAAAAATTTTTCCCTCTGGATTCTCTAAAGCAACAAAAATACTTACCTGAAATACAAAACAGAAGGAGTTGTGTTCTGCATAAGAGGAGAAGGCCTCCATACCCACAAAATACCTCCAAGTGTGTGGTATTCAAGGTAGAAATCTAAAGTGGGCTGGGGGGAAGGGGGTCCTGTCCCTGAATACAAGCTCTTCTTAGAACAACTGACTTTACTATGAAAGTGCTTAACCATCCTTTAGGCTTGCATGGGATAGGGTTAAGGACTAGATCCAGATTTCATGAGTGTCAGGAATTCTTGGATAAGGAAACTCCTTGGATGGTGCAGATCTGCCCCTTGTCTACAATAGCCCAGAGCACTAAGAGGTAGGCTCGAGGCTGGCTCTCTACCCTCTATCCTACCAGGCTTCTCTCTGCATCATGTATACTATAATTAGGAGCCTTTGCATCTCAACCCCCTACAAAACAGTGAGCTCCCTCAGGGTGGGAATCCCATTTCATTTATCCCTCATTACACCTCAGGTCTTCTGGCTCTGGAACTAATCTGAGAACATATCTTACATGTCTTTCCATGGTTTGGTTTGGTTCTCATGAAGCATCAGAGGCAAACTGGCAGCCTCTGGGCTCTCCTGCTGGCTAGGAAGCCAGCCACGCCAATCAGCTTTGGTCATCCCTTATTTCAGATCCTACATCTATCTCTGCCCTGGGTAGAGGACCCAGGAGTCTGAAGCATGCTCCCTGTCTCAGGCAATAACCTTTTATTTATTTGTTTGTTTGTTTATTGGAGGGAAGTCTCCTTTGGGGGATTCCCGCTGGACGGGGACCATCTCTTACCGTGTGGGCACTGGAACCTCAGTCAGGGCGCCCAGCATGACAGCCTGCTGTAATCGGACAAAGGCAATGAAAGGGTTCTCCAGGAAGTCCACCTCCCCGACCAGGACATTGGAGGCCTCCGCATCACGGGGAAGTTTCTTCATGAACTTGTTCTTTAGCTGTACGGGGGAGAGCCAGAAAGCAGAGGTCACAGCTCCAGGGAGGAGAACAAGATGAAATAGAGCCCTGCTTTCATGGGCACAAAGTGAAGGCATGCAGCCCCTAGGACTTTCATCTGTCTTAGCTTAGCCTAGCCTAGCCTAGCCGATCTACCCTGTCCTACCCTATGTGATCCTGTCATATCTATTCTAGCCTATCCTACCCAAATCTATCCATTTCATCTCATTTTATCTTTCTATTTATATGTGTGTTTGTGTTCATTTGTTTGTTTATGGTTGTCTTGGAAGCTAGGTTGCATCGTGGATAGAGTTTCCAGTCTTGGAAGTCAGGAAGACTTGAGTTTGAATCATGCCTCAGACACTCCCTAGCTATGTGACTGTAAGGCAAGTCATTTATCTTCTCTTAGCCTCAGTCTCCTCATCTGTAAAATGGCAATAATAAGAGGGTCTGTCTCATACGGTTGTTGTAAGGATCAAATGAGACTATCCATTATACTTTATACTTTATAAGCCTATAGAGAATTTATGGAGAGAGAGAGAAACAGAGAAAGACTATAAGTTCCTTGAGGATAGACCTTGAGGTCTCTCTTTTGCCTCTTTTTTGTATCCCTAGCACTTAGCATAGGGCCTGGCACATAATAAGCACTTAATAAATATTTATTGATTGATAGGTTGAAGCATAATATAAAAAGCCATTCTCCAATTAATAAATGGTCAAAGGATATGAACAGGTAGTTTTCAGAAGAAGAAATCAATGTTATCAATAGAATAAATGCTCTAAATCACTACTGATTAGAGAAATGCAAATTAAAACAATTCTGAAGTATCAGATTGACTAACATGACAGATAAGGAAAATGACAAATGCTGGAGAGCACATGGAGAAACAGGTATATTAATATACTTTTGGTGGAGTTGTAAACTAATCCAACCATTCTGGAGAACAATTTGAAACTATGTCCAAAGGGCTATAAACTGTGCATACCTTTTGATCTAGTGATACCACTACTATTCTGTATTGCAAAGAGATCAAAGAAAAGGGAAAAGGACCTATATGTACAAAAATATTTATAGCAGCTCTTTTTGTGGTGGCAAAAGAAATGGAAACTGAGAGAACGCCCATCAATGGGAGAGTGGCTGAACTAGTATGGTATATGATTGTGATGAAATACTATTCTGCTATAAAAAATGATGAGCAGAATGTTTTCAGACAAATTGGAGAAGACTTACTTGAACTGATGCAAAGTGATGTGGGCACAACCAGGATAACATTGTTCATGGTAACAGCAATATTGTAACAATGATTAATTTAGAAAGATTTAGAATACTCTGATTAAGAAAATGATTTAAGACAATTCCAAAGGATTCATGATTAAAAACAACAACAACTCTATCTCTTGAAAGAGAACTGATGAACTGGTGAACAGTGCAGATTGAAGCATTTTTTTCACTTTATATTTCTTGGGGGTTTGGGGGATTTTTTTTGCAACATGGCTAATATAGGAACATGTTATACATTACTTCACATGTATAACTGATATATCACTTGCCTTCTTAGTGGGTGGGGGAGGGGTTATAGGGACAGATTTTGGAACTAAATTTTTAAAAAACGTTAAAAATACGTGAATTTTTTTTAAAAAGCATTTTATATAGAGAGTGTCCCAAAAGTCTTAGAGCAGTTTTAAGCCATTAAAGCTTTAAAATACAATTTGGCAATGATGTTGTTGTTACAGAGAAGATGAATCCAATGCAGTTATAAGTAATGACTCATCTGCTGGTTTAGGTTTTCTGCACATTAAATCCCATCCACAACATAACACAGAGATAGAGAATGTGATTTGTGTCTGTTTCCCTTTACTGAGGGCCTACTGCAGATACTAAAGCCTATATACTACAGGTATAATCTCCAAAAATCCCCAATGCTAACGGCAGCAGGAATATGGTGGAGCCAGCTCCTACCAGTTTTGGAGAGCCAATTGTTAAGTTATCATTATGGTTCTTAACTCTTCAGAAATGGACAAAGGCTTGTAAATCAGGGCTTGGTTTATTGTTTGGCTGCCTGTCTAAACTTAAGAAAGTGATAGAAAAATGGGGGGAGGGGCGTCAGATTAAACTTAAAGGGCCATTGTGAATGTTTCCACCCAGAGAACTAATTGTTAAACTCCCCACCACATCTCTGATCTTAATCTATTCCTATTCTCTCACCAAAGCAAGACTGTATCTTTCATACACTCAGCACAGCACTTGCTCATCATGCCCTGATAGTGGTATTCATCGGCCTATGGTTATAGTCACTTATAATCAGGTGTGTTCATTACTTGTCATTTGCAACTGCTTCCTTAGAAAGAGATCCTGTGGATTTTTCGATGTCCTCACCCGGTCTTTAAAAAAAGAATGAGGGAAGAAAAAAGGGGGAAAAAAAGGAATTTACATGATAACTATTATATACTTAAAAGAAATTAGCAAGTTGCAAATGACAAATTTGCAGGTTCATGTGCAATCATCTTTTTTTTAATCATATTATGTTATGGAAAGATTTGTTTTATTCCATAAATTAAAAATAAAACAGTTTTTAAAAAAGAAAAATAAATGAAATGTCATCGACCCAAAAAATTAAAAAATGAACTTGAAAATAATTTTTCATTTTCCTATAACTTACACCTTTAGTTCTGCTTTCTTTCATATTTATTCCTTCACTCTCTCCAGATAATTTTCAGATTATAGAATCATAACTTTAGAGGTAGAAGGGGGCTTTAGAACTCATTTAGTCCAACTCTCCTTTTATAGATGAGGAAAATGGGGCAAACAGGGTTCAGTGACTTCCCCAGGGTCACACAGCTAGTAAGTGTCTGAAGCTGGATTTGAACTCACAAAGATGAGTCTTCTTGGCTCCAGGCCCAGCGCTCTCTCCATTGAGACACCTGACTGCCCTGTCCTATGTCTTACTTATACACTAAATGCCCCTAAAAGGCTTGTAATCTTTTCAGGTCTTGTGGACAGCTAACAATCTCACTGCTGAGCATTTGCTTCCTTCTACAGCCAATGAGTCTCTTATAGCATCCATGCATTTCACATAATTGGAGATGGGGGGTGGGGGGGAGGGGAGAGCACAGTTTGTTGGCCGGAAAACCAGCAATTAGGAAGCAGCATTGAGGGGGCAAAGCCAATTAGTTGTTGTTGTCGTTGTTGTTGTTTTAAGTATAGAATAGGAAAAGTCAGGAAAACGATGATAGGAAAGCTACCTCCTTAACCTAGCAGGGGGAGGGTCCACAGACATTGACGTCAGTCCATGATTAGATTCAGGGGAGTCCGCGAGTTTGTTAAACATTTTGATAACTATTCCCATATTATTGTACAGTAACAATAATATTGCTTTAAGAACAGCTCTGAGTGGCTAAGCCATTTTGACTATTATAAATACCCAAATTAACTACAAAGGACATGTGAAGGAAGATGCTATCTGTATCCAGACAAAAAACTGATAAATAGAATCATATATAGAATGGTTTTATACATGTATATACAACTTTTCCATATTTTACACATGTATTTACATATACACACATGTGAGTGTATGTTATACACATACACATGTATGTGTGTGTATATATATGCATATATATTTGTGTCTAATGGCAGCTATCTCTAGGGCAGGGAGAAAAAAGGGGAAAAAAAGAAAGTTACATGATAACTTCAGTATATATTTTAAAAGAACAGTAAGTTATACATAATAGTTTGCAGTTTCATGTACCAATCACATTCTTTCTATCCTACTATATTATGGAAACATTTGTTTCATTTCTTAAGTTCAGAGTAAAATAAATAAAAATTTTAAAATATAAAATATTTCCTTTGTAATCATATGTATTTTATTTTCTGCCAGGAAATATCACTAAGGCATAATTCCCATTCCCCTTTCCACCTTCCTCTTGTCCATTCCTCCTTACCCCCTGGATTATGCTTGAAGCAGCACATCACAGCCCAAAGATGCTCCAGCAGGAAGGGCCAAGGATTATCATTCAGATGTGGACCAGTCATACCAACTCATCAGGGGGATAAAGAAGCAAGCTACCTTAAATAGCTCTTGTAAGACCAATCCCTTGGGCCCCAGGTGTGCTCTGAAACAGACCTGACCCCCCCTATTTGTCATCAGTCAAGACCTGACAGAAGAGGAAGAAGAAGGAGAAGAAGAAGAAGAAGAAGAAGAAGAAAAGAAGAAGAAGAAGAAGAAGAGAAGGAGAAGGAGAAGGAGAAGGAGAAGGAGAAGGAGAAGGAGAAGGAGAAGGAGAAGGAGAAGGAGAAGGAGAAGGAGAAGGAGAAGGAGAAGGAGAAGGAGAAGGAGAAGAAGAAGGAGAAGGAGAAGAGAGAAGAAGAAGAAGAAGAAGAGAAGAAGAAGAGAAGGAGAAGGAGAAGGAGAAGGAGAAGGAGAAGGAGAAGGAGAAGGAGAAGGAGAAGGAGAAGAAGAAGAAGAAGAAGAAGAAGAAGAAGAAGAAGAAGAAGAAGAAGAAGAAGAAGGAGAAGAAGAAGAAGATGAAAAAGAAGAAGGAGGAGGAGGAGGGAAGGGAGGAAGGAAGGAAGGAAAGAAATATGTCATTTATTTTCTGTGGTTAAGCAGGTGTAGATTTGTATTCTATGGCCAGAGTAAAACCAAAACAACTAGTTTTCAATATTTTCTGTTGAATGATGTAATTCCTTACTGTGCTCTCTCATTTTGTGAAATGGAAACTGAAGAGCATAGCCATGACTAGTTCTCAAGTATGCTTTTAAAAGTGTTCTCTTGATGCTTTCAGGCTGTTATGAAGTTCTGGATATGGAGACCACTTTCATCATCCACACAAAGATTCCTGACTAGGGACTAGAACAAGCCTTGAGAACAGATGCTAAGAGAGTAGAAAAGAATGTTGTTTCCTACCAGGCCTGCAGAATACGCAGCTGGTCTATTTAATCAATCACCTGTTATGTCTTTGGTACTTTCTATTCACAAAGCCACCAGGTTCTGCT